GTCCTAACAAAATTTTTCTTCTCTCATCTTGCAGAACAAAACTCATTCAAATATTTATAAGGTTATAACAAAATTTTTCTTCTCTCATCTTGCAGAACAATGCTCATTCAAATATTTATAAGGGTTTTTTATTATAGTTCATTGATAATACATGTGTAAAAAGTGATAAGATTAGGACCAAATTTCAGGTGCACATTGAAACCAAAAATTTGCAGCAGGATGAAAGTATGCAGTCTCTCTGATTACTCTTGTTTGATAATGTGCTCCAAACATTTGAAGGTTAAAATCTATTTGTTAGCCCTAAACATTTGAAGGTTAAAATCTGTTTGTTAGCCCTAAAAATTTGAAGGTTAAAATAAATCTATTTGTTAGCCCTAAAAAATAAAAAACAAATTACAATTTAAAACACAAATCGTCAATTATCCAAATGTAACACTTAAGTTTATGGGCAATTATGTGCTAATTTTCATCACTGTAAACTGTATGGGGAGAGCTAGTTATACTAATGTATTTAATCATTGAATTTAGCTTTCACCTAATTAGTTTTTCCGATAATATCAATATGATTATATCTTTTCACACTCAAGCCTGAAGGATAAATATAATATTCCACTTATAAAACTTAACGATATGGAAATGAGTACTAGTATTAGCTATGGCCTAGCTCAGGATTTTGTATTTTTCTCTGATTAAAAATAAAAATGTTGTTTGAAAACGTTTGGCAGGTATGGAAGATGGACAGAAAATCACCTTTAGTGGTGAGGGTGATCAAGAACCAGGTTTAGAACCGGGAGATATTATCATCATTCTGGATGAAAAAGAGCATGAGATATTTAAGAGAAGTAATAGAGATCTCATCATGATGATGGAATTGACTATTACAGAATCTTTATGTGGATTCCAGAAGACTATTGAGACCTTAGATCACAGAACATTAGTTGTTACTTGTATTCCAGGTATGGAACATAGAATCATAAATATTACTTATGTAAGCAGTTTGGGGACAGTTTTCCGTGGTTTTTAAATTAAAAATTTAATATTTGAGTTAGTGCATGTAGAAGTGTGCTAGAAAAGCCTTCACTGCAAAGAAATTAACAATTGACTGAGATAACACTGCCTTTTAAATCTCGTGGAATGCTCGTTGGTAAAAAGTGTCCTCACACTAAATATGGTATTGGGGTTAAAAATATATACCCACACATTAGTTTTTAATAATAATAATAAT